TCAAGGGAGCGATTATAATGGTAAACTATGGAGTTTAAGCTGGATACTATGGAAATTGAAGTCTAGAGGGGACAATGAATAGATCACGGTGGTTTAGTGGACTGCATCTTTTTTTTTTTTTTTTTGAGTTGGAGTCTTACTCAGACTGGAGTGCAGTGGTTGCTCCTGGCCACCACAGCCTCGACCTGCTGGGCTCCGGCGATCCTTCCACCCCAGCCTTCCGAGTAGCTGGAACTACAGGCACGCGCTACCACGCCCAACTAATTTTTAAATTTATTGTAGAGATAAGGTCTCGCCAAGTTGCCTGGGCGGGTCTCGAACCCGCGGGCGCAGGCAATTCACTCACCTCGGCCTCCCAAAGTGTGGGATTACAGGCTGAGCCACCGAGCCCTGCCATCTTTTTTTTTTTTTTTTTTTGGTCATGATCTTATTCTGTCTCCCAGGCTGAAGTGCAGTGGCGCAATCATAGCTCATAGCAGCCTGTACCTTCTAGGCTCAAATGATCCTTCTGTCTCAGCCTCCTGAGTAGCTGAGACTACAGGTATAATCTAATTTTTCAGGTGTGGCTAATTTTTTGTGGAGATGGAGCCTCGCTGTGTTGCCTGGGGTGGTCTCGAACTCCTGGCCTCAAGTGATTCTCCTGCTTCTCAGCCTCTCAAAGTGCTCGGATTACAGGCATGAGCCACCATGCCTGGGTGGACTAGCATCTTAATGAGATCAAAGGCCTGTTGCTCTAAGGGGTATTTTCATACGTGAGTCAGAAGCACTGGAAGTTTTCATGAGAGAGTAGGATGCTGGGGCTTTGCTCGTAAACGTGGTGATTTCTGTAGAAGACAGGTTCCAGGTTATGACCAGGGGAGGAGTGTGTGACAAATATGGGCTGGAATAAAGGGTCATTGGGGATAAGACAGTCAAGCAACGAAAAGGTCAGAATAAGGGGAGACATTGAGGTGATGAGGATGGGGAGATTTTTTTGTTGTTGTTTTGTTTTATTGAGTCCGAGTCTCACTTTGTCGTCTGGGCTGGAGTACAGTGGCGTGCTCACTGCTGCTGCAACCTCGACCTGCCGGGCTCAGGCAATCCTTCCACCTCAGCCTTCCAAGTAGCTGGGACTACAGGCATGCACCACCATGACCAGCTAATTTTTTTTATTTATTGTAGAGATGAGGTCTTGCCATGTTGCCCAGGATGGTCTTGAACTCCTGGGCTTAGGCAATTCTCCTGCCTTGGCCTCCCAAAATGTTGGAATTATGGGTGTGAGCCAACACTCCAGGCCAGAAGAGGACATCTTTTTTTTTATTTTGAGTTTGAATCTCACTCTGTTGCCTAAGCTGGAGTGCAGTGGCACATTCACAGTCACTGTAGCCTTGTCCTGCTGGGCTCAGGCACTTCTTCCACCTCACCCTTCCAAGTAACTGAAACTACAGGTATGTGCCACCACACTTGGCTTATGTTTTGATTTATTGTAGAGACGAGGTCTCGCCATGTTGCCCAGGCGGGTCTCGAACCTGTGGGTTCAGGCAATCCTCTCACCTCAACCTCCCAATTTGCTGGGATTATAGGCTTGAGGCACCACTTCCAGAGAGGACAACTTTAAATAAGATATAAAATCTTCTATGAATAAGAGGCAGATGAGAAGATCATAGGTATTCAGTCCTGATCAGGCATGTCAATGCTGAAGAGGAAAAAAGAGAGATAATAACTGGGGGAGCAGTAAATTATGACCTCATTTTCTACTCCTGAAGAATGTTGATGTATAAGAAAATAGAATGGTTGACTTTGACACTGAGAGCCAAGGGTATAGACTGGGGTGTGTTTGTGTGAGATCCTCGTTTAATATTCAACATTTTTTCTTTTTCTTTGGACTCTGAAACTATTTACATTGATATACAGTCAATTTTTTTTTAATGGTAATTTTGCTTAATTAATTTCAAGTCTCCAGTAAAAAGTCTATTACAGACACAGTCTTTGTGTTCATGGTATTGTAGGACATGAAGGGACAGGACAGTGAGTCTAGGAGTGGCTTTTCATGTACAATTCCCTGTTGAGGTCATGTAATCATTGTGACTTCTTAGAGATTACCAGAAACAAAAAGAACAGGGCTCCTTGGAGGAGCTAACTCAGGAGGGGTAAGTCCCTGACATATTTGTAGAAATCCTGGTACAGGCATTGCATGTCTCACATCCGTGATTAGTGAGATGATGCTGAAACATTACTGGAGACTTAAATAAATCTATAGGACTTGGAAATGCCCATGGGGATGATATCTGAAACACTTAAAAGAAAAGAAAAAGACTTTTGAATAGAAAGCAGGGGAAATGTAAGCAGTAACAGATGCATGGGTGATTTTGCATTAAAAAATGATCTCAGGGCCAGGCTTGGTGGCTCAGCCTGTAATTCCAGCACTTTGGGAGGCGGAGGCATGAAGATTGCCTGAGCCTGTGGGTTCAAGACCAGCCCTGGAAACTTGCTGAGACCTCATCTCTACAATAAATCAAAAATTAGCTGGGCGTGGTAGCGAGTGCCTGTAGTTCTGGCTACTTGGAAGGCTGAGGCAGAAGGATCACTGGAGCCTAGCAGGTCGATGCTGGGGTGGCCGTGAGCTGCACTCCAGCCTGGGCAATGGAGTGAGAATGCAACTCAAAAAAAAAAAAAGAAGAAGAAGAAGAAGAAGAAGAAGACCTCAGAAGGATTATAGGACAACTAGGACAGTGAGAATGGTAGCAAAAAGAAGGTTAGAGATACAAAACATTGGAAAACCAAAAAGAGTGGCATTTGGTTTTTATTTCAAATAGTGATTAAGGCCAGGCACAGTGGCTCACACCTGTAATCCCAGGTGTGATGGGGAGGCCAAGGCAAGAGGATTGCTTGAGCCTAGGAGTTTGAGACCAGCTTGGGCAACATAGTGAAACCTCATCTCTACAAAAATAAAATAAAATAAAAATTAGCCAGGCATAGTGGTGTGCTCTTGTAGTCCCAGCTACTTAAGAGGCTGAGGTGGAAAGACAGCTTGAGCCCAGGAATTTGAAATTGCAGCGAGCTATGATCGCACCACTGTGCTCCAATCTGGGTGACAGAGCGAGACCTTGTTTCTAGACAACATAAAATAAAATAAAACAAAATTAAAAAATGAAATTTTAACTAAGGATGAGTAGTGTCTTTTTGTAGTTAGATTTTCCCCAGTATCATCTGTGTTCCACCTTTGCTGTGATCTGGCTGATTGCCTGTGTAAGAGGCAGTGTTGTGGTTAAGTGCACAGACTGAGCCAGCTGGCAGAGTTGAATCTCAGTTTACCACTTCTTGGTTGGGTGATCTTGGTCACTTGCTTAATCACTGTGGACTTATTTCCTCTGTAAAATGGGATTAATAATAGTGCCTACCTCACAAGGGTGGGGTGAGGATCAAGGGAATTCACATATGAAGCACCCCAAACAATGCCTGGTGCAGGGTAAGCAAGCCCCAAGTGTTAGCTGTTATCATTCACTTCCTAATGGCTACAGTACTGAGACAATACATTCCTGGACATGAATTTGTGGGAATACAGCACGGTCTGTTTTGGCTTTTATGGCCAGTATTTGCATAAAATAAAAAAATTCCAGTAGAATAACTGTGCTGTCCAATATGGTCGCCACTGGCCATATGTGACTCTTTAACACAAATTAATAAAGTTAAAAATTCAATTATTTGGTTGCACTAGCCACCTTTTTTTTTTTTGAGTTGGAGTCTCACTCTATCACCCAGACTGAAGTGCAGTGGCCGCTCCCAGCCACCGCAGCCTCGACCTGCTGGACTCCGGCGATCCTTCCGCCTCAGCCTTCCAAGCAGCTGGAACTACAGGCACGCGCTACCACGCCCGGCTCATTTTGATTTATTGTAGAGATGAGGTCTCACCAAGTTGCCCAGGCGGGTCTCGAACCCACGGGCTCAGGCAATCCACTCACCTCAGCCTCCCAACGGCACGGGATTACGGGCTGAGCCATCGAGCCCAGCTACTAGCCACCCTTTAAGCGGGCAACAGCCGCATGTGGCACATGTGGCACTTAGTTACTGAGTTTCTATCACTGCAAAAGGTCCTATTAGACCCAGCTGGCAGATGGTGGAACCTGCCCTTTCCTACCCTCAATCCCTCTTCTAGGCGATCGCTCTGACTGGTTTCTGACATACACAGCACCTTATTTTAAATACATTACATATTTATATTTAATAATATCTTTAAAATGTACTAAGATATTTAACCATATATAGCAATTTATATTCTATACATTTTAAATATAGTTATATACATTTAACAATACATTTGCAATATACTTATAGCTAATAATGTATTTTAAATATATTCATACATATATATTTGTGTATATTCACCTACACTTAACAATACATTTACAATATGCTTATATATAGTTAATAATATATTATTTATTTATCTATTTATTTATTTTAGTTGGAGTCACTCGGTTGCCCAGGCTGGAGTGCAGAGGCATGCTCACGGCCACGCCAGCGTCGACCTGCTGGGCTCCAGCGATCCTTCCGCCTCAGCCTTCCAAGAAGCCGGAACCACAGGCACGTGCTACGCGCCAGCTAATATTTTGGTTTATTGTAGAGATGAGGGCTCGTCAACTTGCCCAGGCGGGTCTCGAACCCGCGGGCTCAGGCAATCCACTCGCCTCGGCCTCGCAAGGTGCTGGGATTACAGGCTGAGCCAACAAGCCCGGCTTTCATCCACATTTTAAATACATTCATAAATATTTAACAATATACTTTAAATATACTAATATATAGTTTCATACACATTTTAAATATATTAGCTACTGGTTGCTTGCATACAGCAGCCCCTAATATATATTTAATCAATTAACAATTCAAAGGTTGAGGGCACCTGATCCTAGTCTCACAGATCACTCTGAAAACCGTAAGGCACAGTTCGAATGTAAGACATTTGCATCTATTTGGGGCAGGGGGCAGGAGCGGACGTCAGTTTCCTTCCTGGCGTGGCCCGGATGATCCGCGGCCGGGGCCTGGCAGTCACCCACCGGCCGGGCCGGAAGTCCTTTCGCCCCGTCGCTGCGGCTCAGAGAGCACCGCGCTGCGCAAAATCCCTCCGCGAGTGCCGAGGGGACACCGTCAGGACG